GCTACAGGCTGAAGAAGAGTCAACATGAAAAGTGTTGTCCTATTCGTTTTCAGTTCGAAACACCGGCAGAGACCAGAAAATTCATCCACTCCCAACACACCCTATCGCAAGCCAGAAACTACAAACATATAAAGGTCGGGGTGGACAAAACAGTCATAGAAAGGCGCGCACACAACTATCTCGCTAAGACTAATTGTGAAATAGGTAATAGGACATTGCAAGCAGCCATTATTCCCAACCCTGTGAAAGATACAGTAGACCCCACCGCATCACCCCTCTCAAAACACACAGAAATATCCCATCAGAGTGCAACACCAGCCGAAAGGCCACTAGACTGTAACCAAATAAATAATAAAACCATACCACCTATCACCGCAGAATCTAAAATGCCACTAAATAACCCCAGAAAAAAAGTCAAAACCCCCCGAAATTCGACTTTGTCCTCTCCTAGCCATAACTCCATTGGTAAAGATAAGGAAAATATGCCCCTAAATCATACCAACAAAAACAGTGGCAGCTTAAATAAGCCCACACTCCCACGGTCAATAGTATTAGCACTCACAACGTGCTAAATCGCACCATGGCACACACTAATATCCAATGTCACAACAATGTCACCCTCAATAGTACAAGTGGTAATAGTCAGAACTCGGCTACCAACAACTCAGGGTCTTCAGAGTATGGCACACAAACAAATTTTGACCGGATATATGGTACAAGTCTGCTGGGAACTAACCCACAATGCAGTACACACGAAACCCACACAAGGACACAACTAGCATCAAACAATAGGTGGAATAATAAGCCATGGTCATCACAAGGATCCAATCATTTTTTATCCCCCGCGTCCCTGTCAGCGTTGAAAAAACAGCTGGTAGGGATGTTAACACTCCTAAACCACTAGTGCTGGCTCCCTCCTTGCATGAAAACAGGAACGGTCTAGTGCACCCGTATCCATTAGGCACACTTGACACTTGCACAAGTATAGGTCAAATAAAGAACCCTACCCACTTCTGTAACCTAACTAAAAATAAAATTCCTTAGTCTATAGCAAATCCAGTACTCCAACTCCTAATTCTTCACCGAAAACAGCACACACCAACTCGATAGACATAGGTGAGCATGATGCTGAAACTCCTCTTAACATAGGATCATCATGTCAAGCAGAACTACTGGGTGCTGAACCATATTCGGGGCTGACTAACGAACTTAAATACTTCAAATGCTACTTCAACTCTCATCTTTACCTAATCCTCATAAATGCTAGATCTGTTCTAAATAAATTGCCGATGCTCAGAGCACTCACAGTAATATACAAACCCCCTGTAATTGTCATCACTGAATCTTGGTGTCATTCGAACATCCTGGATGAAGAAATAAGCTTAGATAACTACACACACTTTCGGTGTGACAGGGAAGGTGGTAAGGGAGGGGGTTGTCTCATGTACTTTCTGAATGCACTTACTGTATCACAGCTAGAAAGTAGTACACTTAACATGCCTGAGACTCTATGGGTTAATGTACACTTAAATAACGTAACAGCATTAATTGGATGCACCTACAGAGCACCTGGCACCTTTAGTAATTACGAGACCCAACTTATTAATACTCTGGAGCAATTATCCGACTTACAATACGATCATAAGATCCTATGTGGGGACTTTAACTTACCTGAAATCAACTGGGATATACCCACAGGCCCAACTAAATTTGATAAGTTCTTAGACACACTGGATATACTTGGCTGGAAACAAACTGTCACTACTCCCACAAGAGGTAACAACGTACTAGACTTAATCTTCTGCCACAATATAAGCCCCCTTTCAACGCTAGTAGGTTCTGAGTTTCCAGGGAGCGACCACAAAACAGTGATGTGTGCACTGCCAATTCCGCTGAGTAGCAATGCATCTCATACCTCCACTTCACAACAAGTAATATATAGGAACTATAGTAAGGCAAACTGGGCCTTAGTAGAATCGATGCTAAGATCCTCCAAATGGGATGAATACTTCACTACTGATGACCTATCGAGAGCCCTAACCATCTTCTACCATAACTCAAACACATGCTTAGATGCTGTCATTCCACTCCAAACACTAAAGGTTTCCCCACACAGAAAGTCATTCATAAAACCAAAGGATCGTACGAAACTGAAGAAACTCTCAACAAGTTACTTCAAACACCACGACTTTGGCACTCTAGGTCTAATACTTAACACCCTTAGCTCCATCTCACAAGCTCGAGATTTCCGTATGAGAAAGGAAGAACGCATCGCAGTAGCCAGTCCTGCTAGAGTGTATGCACTCACAGAAATCTTAAGGAAGCGAATGAATCGCAAAAATCACAGCATTTCTCTCCTCATAGACAAAGGTAGGCTATGCACTAACTCTGCAGACATATGTGAACTATTCAACAAAACGTTTGCAGGTAACTACCTTAAGCCCTCAGTCCAGCTACTCGATATACACCCTATTACTAATATGGCACAAACTCCATCTCCACTCACACCAAACCAAATTAGCACTGTTCAATTCACTTACGCTAATATTAACCAAACTATAAGAACCCTCAAAAGTTCAAAAGGTTTCGGTACCGACGGTATATCATCTTACTTCTATAAATATGGTGGCCCTGACATTCCTCTACTGCTGCTTAAAATATTCACAATGTCCCTAGAAACTCAAACTTACCCTGACATATGGAAGACTACATTCATTATGCCTAAACACAAATCTGGCTCGAAAACTGAAGTCAGTAACTACCGGCCGATCAATATCACACCTATAGCATCTAGAATCATGGAGAGACTAGTCAAAGATAACCTAATCAAACATATGCTTAGCTGCAATATTATAAGTCCGAACCAACATGGATTCCTGAAATCCAGATCATGTTTAACATGTCACCTAGACTTCTTCAATTTTGTAACCAGCAGTCGTGACAGACGGCAACTAGTACTTGTCATCTACTTTGACATTTCTAAGGCATTTGACCGTGTTGACCATTTACTGCTAACAAATAAACTGAACTCCTTAGGAATACGTGACCCATTATTAGGATGGCTTAAATCATTCCTTAACAATAGGTCCCAAATAGTTAAACTCGGGTCTGCAACCTCCAAACCTAGCCCTATCACTTCTGGTGTAGTACAAGGTAGTGTCATTGGACCCCTCCTATTTACACTATACATCAATGACATATGCGCTTGCTTCACGCACGGGAAACCATTCATCTTTGCAGATGACCTAAAAGTAGCTTATACATTCCAATGTGATGACTTAGGGAACTTCGAGAATGTAGTGCAGAAGGAATTAGATAAAATGACTGCTTGGTCGTCCCTATGGAATCTCCAATTTAATCTGAACAAATGTGGCTGGATCTGCTTCGGTGCACCCTCAATTGACCTGAAATTAACGCTCCAATCTGCTAACCTAACCAGACTCCGAAGTGTCGTTGACCTAGGCCTGAGGTACTCTAGTGACTTGACATTCTCTGAGCAAGTAGCATCACAGACTAGAAAATCGAGGATGCTCTTAGGATGCATACTCAGGAACTTTCACGACAATGAAGCCAAGCTAATTCTGTACAAAACATGTGTCAGACCACTACTAGAATACTGTCCATTTATTATAAGCAGCACTCGCACACGTGATAAGCTAAGGATGGAAAGTATCCAACGATATTTTACCTCAAAACTACTTGGCTACGATTGTAAGAAAGACTACATCTCACGGTGCATGATCCTAAAACTTGACCCACTTTGGACAAGGCGACTTATTATAAACCTAATATTCTTCTTTAAGGTCCTTCACAAAATATCATTCTCAGGTAACAGGGACATACAATTCGCACAGGAAGGTTCTTACGATCTGCGTAACCAAACTTCCACAGTGACAACTCATTCTTTTAGGTCAACACTCCGTGAAAACTTCTTCACAGTCATGTATTCTAAAATATGGAATAGCCTACCCCTAGATGTCAGAACTTGCTCTTCGGTTACAAGCTTCAAACGCTCTCTATACAGACTGTTTCACTCTACTGATTATATTAATAAACTATTTACTCCTAGAACGAATCAAGCACTAATCTACTACAGCACCTAAAAGACGCACTTCAACACCCTTAGCAATCTAAAAACTATAAATAAACTAGCAGCATGGATGCATAAAGACATAGTACGGAACATACAGGATTAGTTTACCCTTAGAAATAGGACCTATCCCTCATTGTAACCTTCAAACGCTTGCTATATAAACTGTTTTGTTCAAAGACTATCCCTACCAGAACCCATTAATTACTTCTAAAACGCATCAGTCATTAGAACACTAAAACGCTCAGACTCATTAATACACATTATGACACTAAATAAACTCTAAGACTTCGCATAAATACGTGAAAAGACAACTATAATTAAAAGTAATTTTTTTACTAATGTGTTATACAATTGACATAAACATTTACATATATACATTAATATCCTTTTAATGTTCACATACTTTCTATTTTTGGCACTCTGCTACTCCTATTCATCTTCTGGTCGAGGTCGAACAACCCTGCATCTAAACTGAAATGAGGATTAATTCCAAACCATCTATCTCATAACCACTGAAATTCCATGAACGATCTAATTCTACCGTTTGAAGACGCTGGCGAACATGCTGTAAATGAGTATTCATGATCTGAAATGAAGAAGCAACTGGTTTTCAAACAGTTTTCAACATTTTACTGAACTTACGAATACAGTCCGCCATGCAGACAAAATGGAGTGTAATCCCACTCGTCAAGCAATGATCTGAAACAGAGAGCAAAGCGCACGTTAGCAGTGTGATCACACAAGTGTCGCGTGCTAGTAAGAACGAAGACTCAAGGTCAAGTATTATATTTACAACCAATCGCAATACAATTAGATAAGAGGGAAGGGCACTCCTATTGGTCATCCGTTGCCTCGTCTTGAGTAACCAATCCCTGCATACTTCGCAGCCAACCTGAAAGTAGACAAGCATAGTTTGAACATCAGAAAACCGCCGAACTTACCATGTCTTACACTACCCCCTCTCCCCATAGGAGCACTGTCCGCAGTGCTAGGTGACTGTTCCAGCGGGACTTGTCTGAACTAAGGCCTGTTGTCGAAAAGGTTTTAGTCTATTGAAGTGTGTGACTAGACTATGAGAGTTATTTGGTTCCTGAATCCTACAGGTGCAGTCACTTAATACCTCTACTACAGTGAATGGTCCTTCCCAGCGTTTATGGAATTTAAGGGCTTTCCCTTTAGGTGGTGCCTCCTTAAGTAACATCACCTTGTCTCCTGGCTCCACTGGTGATCCATGTGCTTTCCTATCATAGTATTCTTTCTGGTACCTCTGGTTTGTTTGCAGTATATCTCTAGTCATCTGGTGTACCTTGTTCAGGTTTCGTCGAAGTCTGATTACGTGTTCGGATGCAATCAGTGTATCTTCTCCTAGTGTGTTTGAAGTCAGATCGATTGGCAACCGGAGTTCTCTTCCAGTGACCATATAATGAGGCGTTTGACGCGTAGCTTTGTGAATGCTTGCTCTGTATGCCATTAAGCACTGTGAGAGTGATCTGTCCCATTCCCTGGGGTTGTTTTGATCTACAAATGCCTGCAAGAGAGATTTAAGTGTCCGATTGGTGCGTTCAACTAAGCCATTTCCCTGTGGGTGGTACGCGGTAGTGCGTGTCTTCCGGATACCCATAATACGACAGAGTTCGCTGACAACGATACTTTCAAAGTTGGATCCTCGATCTGAGTGTAGTTGAAGTGGTGCCCCCCAACGGCTGACCCAGTGGTCAAAAATTGACTCTGCGATGGTTACAGCATCAATCTGTGGGATCGCAATAGCCTCGCACCATTTGGTAAAATGGTCTACCATGACTAAAATATAGTTATTATTTCTGGAAGTTACTGGGAGAGGTCCAACCAAGTCTATTTGTACTAAGTCATTCGGATGGCCAGTTATAATGGGTTCTAAGGGTGCCTTATTATATTTGTGCGGAGCCTTAATAGTTTGGCATACCTCGCAGGAGTCACAGAAATCTATGATGTCTTTCCTCTGGTGAGGCCACCAATAACGTCTTTTAGCCGCTTCAATCATTTTCCCTGAGCCCGCGTGGCCTAACTGCTGGTGTAATGACAATAGTACTGTGGGTAGTGCCGACTGTGGAGCCACAACGCGACGAGTATAAGTGGGTCCATGTTGGTAGTAGAGGATGTTATCGACAATTTTCAGATTATCCCACAGAGACCATAAACACCGGGTTTCCCATCCAAGCTTACTTATTTCCTGGGTTGTCGGTCGTTCACCTCCATTTCGAACACGTTCGTAAATCAAGGCCAGTTCAGGGTCTGAAGACTGAAGTTCAGGCCAACTATATGAAGTATGAGCCTCTAGTTGGAGCAGCGAAACTTGTGCTTCGGTGCATGATGGGCAGTCACCGTGATACCTAAGAGGTTTTCTTGACAATGCATCTGCATTTCCATGATTCTTACCCGGTCTATGCATGCATTCGAAGTCATACTCTTGTAGGTGTTCTTGCCATCTGGCAATCTGACCCTCAGCTTCTTTGAAGTTATGTAGCCAGCTAAGGGCTTTGTGATCAGTGCGTACAATGAAATGTCTACCGAGGAGATATGCCCTAAAGTGTTTAACAAAATTGACCAGTGCCAGCATTTCTTTCCGCGTGGTGCAGTAATTCTTCTCACTCTTGTTGAGTGCTCGACTTGCATAGGCTATCACCTTTTCTACTCCATCTGCGTCTTTTTGAGACAAAACTGCCCCGATACCGGAGTCGCTAGCATCTGTATCTAGGATGAATGGACCTGCCTGGTCAGAAACATTGGGATACGCTAGGATAGGGGGGCTACATAAACAGTTTTTAAGTCTTTCGAAGGCTTCCGTAGCTGATGCTGTCCAATTGAAGTCTTTCTTCTTAAGAATATCGAATAGAGGAGCTGCAAGGAAAGAGAAGTTAAGTACAAAACGTCGATAATACGAGGCTAACCCTAAAAAACTATGTAACTCGGGGGCTGAGTTTGGGAGCGGCCAGTCTTTAACTTCCTGAACTTTTGCTGGATCACATTTAATGCCTTCGGCTGAAACAATGTGACCTAAGAAACACACTTCTTTCCTGAAGAATTGACATTTCGATGGGTTCAGTTTTAACCCAACGGTCTGCATCCGTTCTAATACTTCGGAAATATCACTTAAATGTTCGGTCAACGTCTTACTATGTATGATAACATCATCTAGATATACCAAACACTTACATGGTATGAAATCACTCAAGACCGTTTGCATGAGGCGTTGGAATGTTGCTGGGGCATTGACTAACCCAAACGGCATTGTTTCAAACTCATACAGGCCTGCTTGTACAATGAATGCTGTCTTTTGCCTGTCATCTGGGTGTACTTCAACCTGCCAATATCCCGATGCCAAATCTAGAGTGGTAAACCAATTCGACCCTCTAAGGCATCAAAAGTGTCGTCTATGCGTGGGAGGGGAAAGCAGTCTCGTCTAGTTAACAGGTTCAACTTACGATAATCTACACACAACCGGAGTGTCCCATTCGATTTCTTAACTAAAACTACCGGGGAAGCCCATGGAGATACGGATGGTTTGATGACATTTTTCTCTAACAGTTCATCAACTAACCTGTTAAGCTCTTTCTGGTAATGTGCAGGTACTCGCCGTGCAGGTTGTCTACAAGGTGGGGCGTTACCCGTTTCTATGTGATGTTGGACCAGTTTTGTTCTTCCCGGGCTTTTTCCATCCCAGTCAAAACAGTCCTCATATTTGTCTAGCATTTTATTAAAGTTGGCAGCCGTTTCCGATGGTAGGGGTTCTATAGTCGTCAGCATTCGCTGTTTCTCAGTCTTAGCATCTTCCTGAACGCCAAAAGTGCCGTGCTCTTTGTCGTTCCCTATAATAAATGGGATGGAACAGTCCTTCAGTATAAGAGTCCTTTGACTACAATCTATTATTCCGGACAACTTTTCCAAGAGGTCGACTCCCAAGATTACCTGCCATGGCACCCGGGTAGAAATGATGAAATTGTGTTGAAGTGACAATGTTCCCAATTTAAGTGGCAGCAGGACCACTCCCTGAGATTGCATGCAATCTCCATTGGCTGTCGTAAGCCGCAACTTGTGAGTCCCTATTGTTGGCCTAAACGTCTCTGGAACACATGAGGAATGTATGACGGAACAAGTTGCTCCTGAGTCAACTAACATAACACACTTTTTTCCACCTATATAACCTACAACTTTCGGGGAGGAGGTGACACCGATTAGGTTTACAGTAGGCACACAATTCATATCGACATGTGACTCACCTGCATTGTGGCCACAACTCCTAGCAAGCTTACCAAACCGCCTGCAGTAGTAGCAATCGTTTCTTGAAGTGGATTGCGACTGTGGGCGTTTTTTCCACGGTGGTGTGGGATTCTGTCCACGCTTTGTTGTTGTGTGCTGATATCCCATTGCGTTTACTTGTGGGCATGTGGTTCCTGGATTTTCCAGGCTTTCCACTAGGCGTGCCCTAGCTTCCGCTTCTGCCATGGATGCTGGAGTGTGCAAGTTGAAGTCCTTCCTGTAACGGACGTCGACACCCTGCAGGAACTTGGAATATATAGCGTTCTCAACCTCTGAATATGTCTTGTCCTGCATAGCTTGACGCGCAAGCTTGCGGAGACGTAAGGTGAACTGGTTGATGGATTCACCTTGTCTCTGGTTGCACTCGCTGAATCTTTTCAGCGCTTCAATGGGAGGTACTGGTGGCACTATACGTGCTCTTAGAGTACTCAGCAGGGTGGTCAAGGGCATATGCACGTAAACCAAACCAATTGTGTACATTTCCAAGGACTGTCCAACAGAATCGATGACGATTGCGTTAGGATGAGGCACGTTCATCAGATCAATGTATCGGCACACCTTGTCCGACCACAGCTCGAAATCATCACCCACCTCCAGTGTATGCGGCAAAGGATGGACATAACGCGAAGCAGGCTGATTTGACTGACAAGCTGGAGCCCTCACTTCAGATAATTGATCAACCCCTTTGGATGCTGTATGTTTGACAGGAGAAGTGTTCTTGGAAGCCTCATTGGGTCGAGACTTAGAAGAGGAGAGTTTTTTCGTTGGCAGGCTCGCCATTTATGTAATCCCACTCGTCAAGCAATGATCTGAAACAGAGAGCAAAGCGCACGTTAGCAGTGTGATCACACAAGTGTCGCGTGCTAGTAAGAACGAAGACTCAAGGTCAAGTATTATATTTACAACCAATCGCAATACAATTAGATAAGAGGGAAGGGCACTCCTATTGGTCATCCGTTGCCTCGTCTTGAGTAACCAATCCCTGCATACTTCGCAGCCAACCTGAAAGTAGACAAGCATAGTTTGAACATCAGAAAACCGCCGAACTTACCATGCCTTACAGGAGCAAATGGAGAATTCTGGAATCGACCTCGGCACCATTTGATGCAGTAAAACAACTTAATATGACCTTATCTTGTTTTCGCATCCACGATCAAATTTCTTTCCTGTTGTGAAACTACGATAAGACTGCTGAAAAATGGAATAAATATATTACTGATCTCAACATAATACATCAATAATCTTTAAGCCAAGTGTGTTGTTCACAACAAAGTTATATAGGAGAATTGACTTCAAGCTTTATTTTTCCCAGATATTTGTATTACATTCATCTGATGTCTGGGTTTTTTGTTAATGCGAAGACAATATTTCTATATCTCTTTATGTGCTACAAAAACAGACTTTATAGCAGACTGTTCCGATGGACTCTAATGTCAGAAAGAACAACCAAACTGTAAATACATTATACATCAAATTTTGTGTAATTTATATAATAACTTATCCATGCCTGTACAATTGGTATGTTCCTGGATAAACAGGAAGAAATATATATTATTTATATAGCCCGTCGTACTGGGGTTCCAGAGGGCGACGCACAGAGTCCAGACGAACAAATACATGTGTAGCAGTTTTCAAACATGGGTGAATGAAGACGTCTATGGACTGTGGTTGGGGGGAGCAGGTTTAACTGAACGCATTGCGTTTGTAAGCCTGCTGACTCACGAAGCGTGATCTAACACTGGTAGGAAGCCAGAGATAGAAGCAAACCCACCTGGTAGTCGTAGCGTCGTTCCATATACTAGCTAGGCGGTTGTACAACCAGCATCAGTTTTCAAGGCGTTTCGTGTCCCTAGAAGGAGTAACGGTAGTGATTCAGTCCGATGGGTATTGTTTGTAATTGATAAACCAGCTTTCAACTGTTGGTACAGGCGTTCTACCGTACCATTAGCTTGAGGCTGGTAGGTTGTGGTTCTCAAACGCATACAACCTATGATTTTAGTCAAGGCAAGGAATAAGCCGCTTCCGAATTTTCGCCCGCGATCAGTTGTTATGGTGGACGGGCATCCAAAGTTTACGATCCATCGTAAGATGAAGAGGCGTGCGACTGTTTCAACAGATACATCTTTGGGGATCACTGCTTCAGGCCATCGTGTGAAACGGTGGATGCAGGTTGAGATATAGGTAGATCCATGAGATTCTGGAAAGGGTCCAACCAAATCTATGTAAACGTGTTTGAGACGAGCATCAGGGATAGGAAAGGTGCTAAGAGGGCTTCCAATGTGTCTTAATACCTTGCGCTTTTGGCAGGCTAAGCACAGCTGTACCCATTTCCCTGCTTCTATGTTTATACTAACTAGGTCAGCAAAACCGGCTAGCTACGAGCTACACGTTGGTTCGAAAACCTGGGTGGGGTAAGTCATGCAACGTGATGAAGACGTTACGGCGATAACTTTTAGGCACGATGTGGAGAGGAGTACTCGTGGGACTGCCACCCAGAATAGTGTCTCTTCCTATGCCTGAGGGTTTCTCAACTAATTGTATAGTCGTTTTCAAAAATTCACGTTGAGGCTCGGTATCTTTCTTTTGAGGAAGGGCCAGTTTCACAAGGTCTATGCCATCTAACTGGGTGAGGGAAGAAATGCGCGACAAGGTATCTGCCACAGTGTTGTTCACTCCAGATATATGGCGAATATCCGATGTAAACTATGAAACGTAGTCCAGTTGTCGTGACTCTCTCCATGAGTACTTATCTGAAGTTGAGTTCGAAGAGTACGTAAGAGATTCGCGGTCAGTGTAAATTATAAATTCACGACCCTCTACTGAATGTCGAATATTACGTATAGCACAGTACATAGCCAGAAGTTCTCTGCTGAATGTGCTGTACCTGGTTTCTGATAGTTGTAGAGACCCTGAGAAAAATGCGACTGGTTGCCTCTCTACGGTGATTAGTTATCTCAGAACTGCGCCGATCGCGGTGTTTGATGCATCATCGGAGGTGCACAACGGTGGCGTTGGATCCTTATACATCAGAAGGGTGGCATTCGCGATGGGTATTTTAAGTGATATTTTAGTAGCATGCCCTGACAAGAATTAGATTTATATAATAAGGGAAGAACCAAAATTAATACGTAGCAATAGTGTACAGCTTATCTCTTATCTGGCTGGGATAATAAGCTCAAAGAGTGAGCCTGATGGTACGTGCGAACAGTCACACTGTAAAAATCACAAAGATGGCGTGGCACCGTAGTACTTGAATGTGTTAAAACAAAAGCTCAAACATTCAAGGTGCTCTACAATACTATGGTAACACTCCATTCACTTTCCATTGTTCGGTATGTTAATGCTAAAAATATATTTAGTTTACTGTCGAATATTTGCTTAATGCTATGACTGATATGCAGTAGTTTTAAAGCCACCATTACCACTGTCTAGATATATGAGTTCGTCATTGTAGCAAACAAAATATACTTATTCTGTTCTAAGCCAAGGAAATCGATCTCTGATTCCTATTGTATAGCTAATAAAACTTCCTTGAGGCACATGCATTCACCAAAAACACTCCCGAGACAAGAAAAAGATGATTATCCTTCGATAAGTTTGAGGTACAAAACTACTACGTATAATCGAGTAGA